CAACTGGGATGAGATGTTGCCCAAGGTCGCTAGTGCATACAACAACAGCGTGCACCTATCCACCTGCCGCACTCCCAATGAACTGCACAAGTCCTTTAGACCACGCAGACCGTTCGAAGGACTAAACCGGGATCAGATTCACAGATTACCGCCCGGTACCAGGGAGTTTGCGATACAGCACGAAAAAGAATTAACCACTATTGTTGAGAACCTACGGAAGGCCCAGCACAGAATGATAGAGCAGGCTAACAAACACCGTCGCCCATCACAGTTTCRAGTAGGCGACTTAGTCTGGGTCAAGGCAAAAGAGTTTGCACCGGAAGAAAACATCTCGCARAAGTTACTGCCTGCATATAGAGGACCGTGGCCGGTTCTAGAAGTCAAGGGCGTAGAGGATGGACCGTCCTATAGCGTTGAGATTCCAGCACACCTCCACACATACCCTGTGTTTCATGCTTCAAAGCTGCTGCCGTGTATCACTAGTCAACAGTTCCCTTCCAGGAGATCCATGATTCCACCRGATATGGATGGAAGCTATGACATAGAGGGCATTGTAGAAGAGGATGTGTTTAGGACAGGAGGTAAAGGTCGTCCCCAAAAACAGTATAAGGTCCGGTTTGCTTATCAGGAACCGGAAGACGACCGCTGGTTCACGAAAGCAGAACTTCTAGAGACCGCTCCCGACATAGTCAGGGCCTATGAGCGTGACAAGAAAGGCAAAGGTCCTGCCTTGGACTACAATTTTCTCGGCGGACCTCGAATTTAGGACGGCGGGAGTGAAACGGTTTTCACCTTTTTAGCAGTAACGGATGCAGTACCCAGGGTTCGATCCCTAGACCTCACCCTACCCATGTACAGTATCTATGTAGACCCCGAGAATTGAACCTGCGACCTGTGTATTCGCAGATAGTTGACTGTTGTCTGTTGTAGGTCTGTAGGTCTGTGTAGCCGTAGGGGTTCGATCTGTAGGTCTGTCGAGTAGGGGTCATAGTTGTGTAGAGGCCGTAGCTGTAGCAATTCTGAAAGGTCAAGGTCGTAGCTGCTACAGTCCTGAAAGGTCAAGGTCGTAACTGCTACAGTCCTGAACGGTCAAGGTCGTAGCTGCTACAGTCCCGAAAGGGCAAGTCCACAGACTTCCGGAAGGTCCAGAAGTGGCCTTTCGAATTTTTCTCACGTTCCTCACAGCAGACCAGAGGCAAGTGGGCAAGTGGTGAGTCCAACTTTGCTTAGTCAGCGGTACCCAGTCTCAGTCTCACTTTGTCCAGTCAGCAAGTACCATGTGGGACTGTGTGCACCGTGRGSCCGGTGGAAAAGGRCAGACCAACGACTTACAGAAGTATAAATCAAGAGGCAGCGTCCAGCCATTCATKGATTCCTGCGTGAGCCATGCGGAAGCGCTGCCACAGCGACTTGTGCAAGGAGGTCTGCAGATGAGCCCGGAAGACGCAGTGGGCTAGAGAGAGGAAGTTAGCGTAGCGATAGGGTAGATGCAGCGACAGCTGCCATAGCTGTAGTTAGTAGTGAGTGTGTGTGTGTGTTCGAGTGTTAGAGTGATGCGTGTGGGATATCCAGGGTGATCCAGTGTATGTGAACAGTGAGATGTTTGAGCGCTGAAGTCGCCATAGCCAATTAAGAGTGAACTCGTATCTGAAAGCCATATCTCTGAGTTTTGAGTGGGCGCATGTCGCCAGTATGCTGCATTGCTGTTTACATGCATGAAAAGTGTGTTTGAAAACGAGTCTGATTGCATGCAGTAAGAATCGCAACAATTCATCTGCTTGACTGCATCTCCGCTTGAAACACATCTAGATTCAGGCGCTTAGTTCAATCCTCTATGCTGGTCGGACCTCGCCCCTTGACAACCTGCCAAGAGATTATGAGAAAATGAAGACACAATGGATAAAAGGTGGAGCAGATGTCAAGAGCTTTAAACCACCAGTACACCCACACCTAAAATCCCGAAGCTACCTGCCCACTGCGCGCCGCTATTTCCCGAGCCTTCTGCGTGAGGGTACCTGCAGTGGGAATTTCGGAAGTGGAACCGATGCCGGCGGTCTACCTGAAGGGGGGAAAAAAAAGAAAGAGAAGGAACAAACATGCCAGAGATCAATGATGTCGTGGAAGGATGTCATAGAGGCCATACTCAAATGATCACTTTCGAGAGTGCATCTGACCACTATTACGGGGAGAGGGTTGCTGTTTTTTTCTTTTTTGAAATTTTCTCCTTTTGGGGCTCGTTAGACACTCCTCGGGCGCGTAAAGTCGCCGAGGGCTTGTTCGTTGCAGTCGGAAAAAAAAAGTGAAAACACTCCGAAGGAAATTCCTTGGGCTCCGAGGATTCCCCAGCCATTTCTTCCTTGTGCCCAAGGGACCTCACGAGGTCCCTTGGGCAAAAGGAATCCGTGTTTCACGGAGAGGAGCGGGCACATGGGTAGAGAGACGTTATAACTGAGAATCTGGATCGTGGCGGCACCCTATTGGCTGAAGGCCTCAAGCACATTTGATTTTTTTTTCCTTTTCTTTTTTCTTTTCTGACATCGCTCGAAGGAAATGTCCTCGGGCGACGTCCCCGAGGACAGGTGGAACGAAGGGCCCAACTTTCCTTTTGAACCAAAAGGAATTTTCCCTTTTGCCCAAGGATTTCAATAGGAGTGTCTAACGAGCCCCTTTGTTCTTTTCTTCCGTTCCCTGCCAGCAAGGCAGCGCATATTCCTCGTGCTCAGAACGCCCTCGCTCAGGGCATACTCACACTAGCACCGTTGCAATGCATCCAACCACTTTCACGGCCAAAGCTTTGTTGGCTTTTTTTCTCCATTCATTTTTTGTGTCTGACAGTCGTGCTCCCCGTGTTCTTCGTTCTGCCCAAGTGCCCTCGCTGAGGGCAGACTCACACGGTGTACTCCAAAAAGTGTATCCAACTGCAATCACGGCCAAAACTTGTTTTGTTTTTGAGGTAACTTCGGCGCAGTCACCAAAACAGTTTGTAATTGCACTTCAGGCAATCCCGCGAATACAACACACGCCCACGCGACCCCACCGGACCCGAAACGTAGGTCATATACATTCAGCATTACCGGCCCTTTTGCCTCGAGTGCAATTACAAACTCAAACCCTGACTGCGCCATAGTTTTCTCTTTGTTTTTCGGGACGTGCGGATTTGACATGGGCCCAAATATTCGAAAACCTTCTGATGCTCCGACCCTTCCCCGAGCACGCCTTTTACTTCTTGTGGCGACAAGTTATTTTGCTGCAAGGCTGAGGCCGTGTACTGGTGGTTTAACATCATGGCGGCGCTAACATCTCCTCCCGGCATCACTTCGATAGTACACCATCGAAGTTCCCAATCCTTCTACTCTTCACGCCACTCAGATTGAGGAGGGATACGCGTTTCTGGCCGTTGATCTGCGGAGTCGACGGTCGGAAAGCACGTCTTAATGCCAAGCGGCTGTCGTATGAACCAGGTCGGAGTGCCTGGATCATATGACACTCTGGCCGCCCCTTGTAAAAAAAAAAAAAATCATGTCTGCAGACTCTGCAATCATTGATACGTGTTTTTCAGACCATGGATCTGCGAAATCAATCAACAGCAAGAAGCACTTAATCCCAACCAGTGGAATCATGTCTCTGCAGGGACACTGAACTGGTTTTTTTTTTTTTTTTTTTTTTTTTTTTTCCTGACCGTTGAACTGCAAAATGGATGGTCAGAAACGCTTTAAAAAATAAAATAAAAAACCACTATCTGGGGAGCCGCTTTTTGCCGAGGAGGATTCCCCCTGCGCACCAAGCTTTGCCGAAACGCCAGCGCGGCGTGTTTTGTTTCCTAACATTTCTTTTGGCTGCTGGGCCGAGGTCCCACTAGCAAAGAGGATCGGACCGAATGCCTGAATCTGGATGTGGTTTATGCAGAGATGCAGAAAAGCAGTTCGATCTCGATTTCCTGCACCACTCTACAAACACGTCCAGATTCAGGCATTCGATCCGATCCTCTTTGCTAGTGGGACCACGCCCCTGGTGGCAGCGATTTGGATCCGGCAGCCTCTAGCCTCCAGACTTTTGGATATGAATCCTTTTCGATTCTCAAGTTTGCCTGGGCCCGAAAGGAGGTTAACGGAGGCCCAAATTTTCAGAAATTTGTCATGCAATTTCTAAGAAAACCCAAAGCCCTTTTTAATCAAACTTGTCTCCCACCCATACATAGAGTGAACAACATACTAATTGACATCAAAAAAAAAAAAAAAAAAAAAAAAAAAAAAAGCATAAATTTCCATAAAACTTAAAGGCAAAGGTGGATTTTCACGCAAAATTCGTCAACAAAAAAAAAAAAACAGGGGCCGGGCAGTGGAACCATGCCCCATGTGATCCAATCACATACATAAATGAGATAATTATCCAACAGGAAGCTTGGTATAATTTCTTGATGAGTTGAGAGTCCACAGACAGGGTTTAGGGTTTAGCCAATAAAGACTAAAGCCTGGAGGAACAGCCCCACTGGTTGGAGCCTCAAGGGTTTAGTCAACAAGACTACCGTCTTCACCCGAATAGAACGCCTGGTCATTATAGCTGTATTTGGCACAACTTTCGGTCCAGATGCAGCGATAATGACCGAGCATTCTATTCGGGTGAAGACGGTAGTAACTGGAGGAACAGCCTCACTACTCTTGAACATCAAGGTTAGCCTACAGCTCAAATAGCTGAGAGGAGGAGGAGGAGGAGGAGGAGGAGGAGGAGGAGGAGGTGCATAGGAAGCAGAGGGAGTGTCGAGCTTGTCAGTGGGCGCATGATTCTTCGTGCTTCAATTTTTCCGCGTTTTGTTCTAAGTGAAACTGGCTAATGCCGTCAGGATAACTCCGCATGCAATTGTGAGGTCCCCGGCAAGACTCTGCAAGAGTGCATTCAAAGAAAAAAAGCAATATGTATCCCCTTCAAGGAGCTAAGTATATTTATTATTTATCCCCTCCAAGGAGCTAAGTATCCGTAGAACTTACCTCCTAACCATGTCCATCCTCAGCCTCTTATAATTAACAACAACCCGGACCGTCATGTCTAGCTCATGGCTGCAAATGCAAATGAATAAACATGAGAAGAGCGCACAACACACACAGACACCACACATGGGTCAGTGGCGTCCACACAAACACACACAAACACACAAACACACACAAAGATGCACACACACACACACACACACACACAACACACACACACACACACACACACACACACACACACACACACACCTCCTCATGAGTCAGTCAAAGTCCGACAAAACAGTCTGGCACAGTCATGCTCTTTTTGAGTGTATAGAGAATATGACAACACACAAAAAAAATAAAATAAAATTTGTCGAAGGTTAGAGACTTTCAACAGGAGGGATACAACCATACAATGACTCGAAGAGTTAGTTAAACTTAGTTTTTTTTTTTTTTTTTTTTGAAACAAAAAGGGCCATCGTTGAAATGACCGGCCCCAGGTAATTCACAGTGATTTTATAATTTTGATCCTAGTCATTGTTTTGGTTGCATCTGGATTCGAACTTGGGTCTGTATTTTTTGGTGTACCAACTGAGCTAGTTTGGTTATATGGATCCGTACTTCCACAGGGCTAAATCCTCCTCCGTGCTCCAACTGCACAGATTCGAACCAGCGACCTCGGCCCCAAGAGCCAAGTATCTTAACCCCTACAGCCCAGACACGGCGTTCAAAAGTGGAACCATGCCGCGGTCGTGATATCCACCCCACCCCCTGTGAGGCTGTAGAGTCCAAACGCAACTCAACACCACACTCAAGTCCCCCGTAAGCATCGGCAATTCTCGCACACTCAGCTCCAACTGAGCACGTACCCTTCTTCTAATCATAGTATCATCATACCATTACTGGTACTTAGCCCGCTCACTGTACCAGGCTGTGAATTGTCCTACCCGGCAGTTCACGGGAGCCTTCCCAGTTTGGCCTATCGGGCCAGGGCATATTCTGGTTGCTCTTTCCGCAGCAGGTCTTAAAAAACTTAAAAAACTTTAAAAAATTAAAAAACATGAAAAAAGTTCAAAAACTTGAAAAACTTGAAAAAACTTGAAAACTTTTTAAAAAGCACATTCCAATTCAAAAAACAAATCCAGCTTAACAACATTGATTGCTGCATGCATAGTATGTCATGTGACTCATGTCATACATTTGACAACCATTTTTAATTTTTTAGTTAAAAAAACTGAGATTCCTTTTTCATTACCGAAATTGGGCCAGCCTAAAACGCCGAAAAGTGCAAGCATCAGGACGCTAGACGGGAGCTCCAACGATACACATTATATTTGACTTTGACTGAACATCAATAATGGGAACTGTGTTGTGCTGAGCGGCATCTGACGACGACAAAGGGGAAATGAGTAGCCTAGGCTACCTTCTTCCCCCGAATACAACGTACGGTCATTACAGCTGTATCTAGACTGAAAAGATGCCTCAAATACAGCTATAATGACCGTTCGTTGTATTCGGGGGAAGAAGCTACCGTCTTCACCCGAATAGAATGCCCGGTCATTATCGCTGCATCTGTACCGCGAGTTGTGCCAAATACAGCTATAATGCCCGGGCGTTCTATTCGGGTGAAGATGGTAGTCGCTAGGGTAGTAGTTTTTTAACTTTTAACTTTTAAGGCAAAAGAGTGATCAATCAATCACCTTGGCTAGTCCCTGGAGGAAGAGACCTGCATTGTTTGTGAGCTCCCATTGGTGTTGTTGCTGGTTGGTGGTGGAGTGAAGGGTATCTGTTTAAAATTTAAATAACTTTAATTAATAATAATAATAATTAAAAATAATAAAAAAGAAGAAGAAGAAGCTTAGGTATCTGTTTCTCTTCATGAAAAGACCAATATATATCGCAGGTATGTAAATAATTCTAAATAGGTATACATATATATTTTTTTATTGAGACAAGTCCGGCAGTGGTCACACTTTCAGTTCGGAAAGGGAGAAAGAAACATGCGCGGGCAACAACATTGGGTGCGGAGTTTGAAAAGTGCGATATCCGTAAAAAAACTGGCCCGCGTGTGATTTTGCTGCCCTTTACAAACTCCGCGCGCAGAGTTTTTGTTGGTGTTTTCAAACTCGGCGCGCGGGTAAAAATGCTATTTTTTTTTGTTGGCCTTTCAAAACTCAGCGCGCGAGTCTGTTGCCCTCGTGTGATTTTGTTGCCCTTTTGAAACTCGTTTGTGCCACAACCAAACTTGCCCCTTTTTTATTTACACGAATCCGATCCGATATTAAACAGATCCCAATATTAGTATCAAAATTTTGAAGTTTGAACGTATGTGATCATTTTTCAGTCGGCTCTTGCTCATGGCTTTTTGCTGCTGAGTTAATGTCCGTCCATCCAGGACAGAGGAGAGCAAAATATGTTCGCAATTTTTGTTTCGTCGTCATGGACTGGGTATCTTTTTGCATGCCCTTCTCTTCCTTCTGCTTCTTTGGTCTTTCTTCAGGAAGTCGGTTCTTCAGGGATTCAGGTCATCGCATCTTCACTGTTTTTTTTTTTTTTTTCTGAGAAGGGTGATGGCCTGGATCCTTTTTTTTATTTTCTCTAAAGGGTGGTGTGTGAGGATTGAGCCCTCAAGTAGGGGCCTTGCCATGATGTACATGTTCTGGGCTAAGGCCCCAGCAAGCCTAGCGCCCGCCCTAGGTGAAGGCGGGCCAGCAAATCAACAAGAGCCCTCTGTGCCAACATTTCACGAAGTGGGGTCTATACAGTTGCAGCACGCCAGTTGGTTGGAGTGC